ATACAATGGATGGACACACTCCCATGCGCAAGCCATCCCAGAGCAAATTTAATTCTAAGTGGCTTCTGGTTGCTTAAGACTCTGTACCTCTCAGACATCAATTGAAAGCGATAGGGATTCAAAACGCTGGGGAGCTCCAAAAGAACCTCAGGCCACAATTACTTTCCCCATCTGGAAAGCATTCTCAGGCTTCATCCTGCCTAGTGGAGCAGGAACACAGGTCTATTTTGTCTCCTGCCCAATCTAGCCCATATCCTAAGCAGGCTGTTTATAGCTGGCGAATACAGCAACGTCCACAAGAAGTCCAGTGTGCATGTGAAGACTCACTCAGGAGCTCTGTGCCCAAGGAGGCTTTCCTAAAAGCTGCTGGAACTGTTCAAGAGATGGCAAAGGCTAGCAAAGGGATTTTCATACATAAATCACAAGAGCAGCATTAACAGGATCCCAGTATAAACAGCTTTGGTCCAGCCAATCTCTTCAATAGGGGCCTTGTTGGCTCTAAAATAACACTGGCATCCTTGGGGAATTCCAGTGGTAAAATTAATTCTGTCTATAAAAGTCTTCACAGATTATATTTCCGCTCCAGTCAAATATAGCTCATGGACATTTCCGCTCCCTGCTATGGATAACCAGAACAGAAATTCAACCCTTAGAGGCCAGAATGAAATGGCCATTCATGTCAGAAGGCAAAGGAACTCAATACTGAACGAGGGAGGGTATTCCCTTTGTCCTCCTCCTCAGGACCACAGGCGCCAGAGGGTGAGGCTGGTGACATGGGTACTCCACACTTCTCCGCATGGGCCTCTGCTACAGCGTGCAGGGTCTCCTTAGCTGAAACTCAGGGGCTGTGCTCTGAACACTTGGTGATGGTGACAGATTGACACCTCTTCATCCTCAAAACCTCAGCAGAGAAGGGCTCCCGAAACAGTGAACAGGCTGCTTGGGTTCAGACTCATGTCTTGCCCACCAGTGGTCGGGGAACAGTGTAAAGGGCAGAGGCCACTCAGGGTCACTCAGCCACAGGCAGCCACCTGGGCTGGTGAGGGGCAGCGCTTGCACTGCCCTGACGTCCTGAAGAAGGCACTCTCGAGCAGGACCCAAGCATTCATGCTTTCTGAAACTCCTCTCAGCCTCTGGGCCTGCACTGTGAAGTCTGAGGCCTATTTCACTAAACATTACACAGATCAAGGAGTCTCAAATAGCAACAGGATGCCTCGTTTCCAGAAAAATACAGATCCTCAACAGCTGCCCACAACCATGTCCCTGCCTCTTTGAGACCTGCCGGTGTAACTATCACTTCTTTCCATCAAAGATAGAGAAAGAGAGAGAGAGCTTTCATCCCCTCCAGACTAATCCAGAGACTAAAGCTAACTAACACAATGTCTGGATGACCAAAAGCCCTGAGCTCACGGTAGCTTGTTCCTGGGGCCTCAAACTCTTTGCTTCTGCCTTTCTTTCTTTTGGTACTTGGGACTGAACTCAGAACTTTCAAACCAAGCTACATCCACAGACCTTTTCTTAAACTATTTATGTTGAAGTAGAGTCTTGTTAAATTGCTACGCTGTGCAGTCTGGGCCTACACTTGCCATCAGCCTCAGCTTCGAGTGCTGCCTTACAGTTGGGTGCTCTTGCCTAAGGAAATGCAGATGGCTTCTCTTGCCTTCTGTGCTGAGGATGGAACTCAGGGCCTCATACATTTTAAACACTCAGGAAGGGCGGCAATAAATATTACATTGGGATCCTCAAAGCACACACCAAACAAATGCTTAAGGCTTTCTTCTCCTCTACCTTCTGACATTCTTACAGCTTCTATTAAACACACACACACACACACACACACACACACACACACATTCTCTCCCCTTAAGAGTCATTAACAAGCAGAAAATCAGCTTCTCTGGAAAAGGACATAAAGGCTTCCTGTTTTCAAGTACATAGCCACCTTCTAGTAATGGAAATTTTAAGACAGTCTAAAGTGTCCACTGGTAAGCCTAATTCTAAGTTATATATGTTAAACATTGTTTTACAAAGTCATTTAAATGTTCACTTGTATAAATTTTGATTTTTTTACAGTTTTATATTGCATGGCAAAAGTGAATCAAGGGACCGGCCAGATAGCTCAGTGGACTAAAGCACCTGCTTAGGTAGAGTGCAGCGGCCAAGGTTAGATCCCCGGTGTGCCGTGCTGGCCCTGACCCCCGGAGCTCGCTGAGACTGTGATTGAGACTGAGCATGGTGACGCACGCCTGTAATCCCAGCACTTGGGAGGCTGAAAACAGAAGAATCACTACAAGTCCGATCTACGTAGTGAGACCCTGTAGAATCTGCACTAAATACAAAAAACAAAAGTGAATCAAAATAACATCCAATAAAATATTAAACTTCAAAGGAAAGTAGAGGCGGAGAATTAGGGTTTCAGACACCTGCCCACATGGAGTGGGCAGGTCACATGACATGCATGACCACCTTCAACTTCCCAGCAGCCCCTGCGGCAGGGAAGCAGCTCTAGAAGAGGAAATCAAGACCAAGGTCTTCATGGGCTTCCCACAAAAGTGCAGTATACGCAAGGACTGAGTGCAGAAGCTTCTTTGGAAGGGAATCTGGAGAGCAAGAAGTGAGACAAGCAGAAAGCTTGGGAAAGGTGTGGAAAAGGCTGTAGTGAGCAGCTTGGGCCCGATTGCTGGGGTCCTCTGAAGAGCAGCATAAACGGTAAGGCAGATGGGTAGCATGTTCCAAGGCCCACTGCACCAGCTGAAGGCTCCACTGAGGGCTGCACAGCCCAGGACAGGAACCCAAGTCTGACTCAGAGCCTGTGTGCTCCTCCCAAAGCTGCTTCTCAGCGCCTCCACAACCCAGGTGTCTCTTGTAAACAACATAAAATGTATAAATGAGCGACTCGGTCTTGTCTTTTTCAATTTCTCACCCACCCACATTATATTTTATTTTCCCTCCAACCTTCAGAGCAGATAGACTTCTCCGTAAGACATCTAACTTCTCTTACAAGCCAGACAACTACTCAAACAGAAGAAAAAGAAAACAGAAGTGCTCCCCTGTGGCTGCCATGTCTCCAACATAAGCATGTTACCATGCAACAGCGCCCTGGAGCTCAGCAGAGGGGGCAGGCAGTAAAACCTGGGCAGTGGGGTGGTGTGCTGTCTGGGAGAATGCCACCCCACAGGGTGGTGTTGTCAGGAACCCAGCCAAGAAGGGGACAGGGGCTCCTGCCTGGCTGGCAGGGACACCCCATGCAGGAAGGGAGCCTGCAGAGGCATGTGTTGCCATGCACTGAAGGCTAGTAGTGGAAAGCCAGCTGTGGGGAAGCACTGCCACCATCCCACTAGCTCAGCTCTCTGTGCACACAGATGCCTGCTCCTCACATCGGAAGCTACCAAGGCTCAGACCCTCGGAGTGGCCACCCAGGACGAGCAACAGTGGAGCTGTCTGAGACATCCACAACTGCTTCTTTATTCTGTTTCCTTGTAAAAAGTAAGACATAAGGGCCAGCCAGATAGCTCAGCAGACTAAGTGCCTGCTTTGGCAACGCAGGGACAAGGATTCAATCCCCAGTCCCAGTCCGCAGGTCCCGCATGCCTTGCAGACTCTGCCCAGGGGCATGTTGAGCCAGTGACAGAGTCCAGGTGTTGCGGCACATGTCTGTAATCCCAGTACTGGGGAGGCTGAAAACAGAAGGACCACTGCAGGTCTGAGTGAGACCCTGTACCAAATACACAAATGAAAAAAACAAAAAAAAAAAAAAACAAAAAAAAAGGAAGAAAGAAAGAAAAGAAGCAAGCCTCATGCATCTACTTGATCTTTACTCTTTTAAAAAAGGCAAATCTGTCCCTTTTGTTATTGTCAATAGCAATTCATTCATGAAATTTTCAAAAATATATAATCTGCAGTGATTTCTTCTAATAAAATACACAAATGTGGAACACAGGTTCAGAATGCATCCCTCAAGAGTAATGAATCGAGCAAATGGACACAGGCACGTACTCTGTGGGACACTCAGGCTGGTAGCAGCAGCTGAGGGTAGCTGAATGATGGCCCGAGAGTAACCAAGTAACTAATTCATTCCATTATAATTTTTGTTTTAATGACACTTTTATATGCCAGTAGTCAATTCAGTAATATTTTAAATGGTAAGACAGACTCAAGAATGGAGGAGAAAGCATCAGATGCCTTATTGAATCACAAATCTTACAATCTGATTTTTTAATTCGAAAGGGACCTAATAAACTTCCCGGGTCATTACATTATCCTAACACCTTGTCTTTTGAGTTCTGCATTCATTTTTGGCAATCACTCAGGGATCTTAGTTGGAAGCCAGCATCGATGCAGTAAGGCATACAAATGACTCTGCATAGCCCTGGGATAAAAATTCTACACGACCAGTGTCCTCTGGGGACCGGGCTCTGCATCAGCCACAGCCTCTGATTTGTGAGACTGAAATGCACAAAACCTGGGTGAATGACAAGCTCAGAAACTCAAGCCCTCGCATGGTTTCCTCATATAGAAATGTTACCTTGAGAAAAATATACCGGCATATAATTTTTCACTCTCAGGCCTTTACGAAGTTTTGAAATATGTGACCTACTTTAAGAGCTTGCTACTTTTCGAGGAAAGCAGGGCCTGACAAATGGGCCACAGAACTGAACCACACCAACTGCTCCAAGAGCCAACAGGTCACTACACAACGGCCTTGCCTTAGGCTCACCTCAGCAAGCAACATCTCACCACTTTGGCCTTTATGCAAAACAATCTGCAATTTTAAAGAATATTTTGTGTAAAAATAATTATTTCCCATTTCATGAAATCACTATAATTATAAAATAAAGGCATAGAATCTTGATGCAATCTACTACTCTGGCTGACATCTGTGCTCTTCTCCTAAGAAATTAGCACATATTCTTTGAGCAGCTTTGGTTTGTAACCAAAGCTGCAGCCTCAGAACTCTGGCCTCTGATACCAGTAGTTAAGGAGATGGTACACAGCCTCACCATTCGCTGGATTCTTTTTCAAGTTGTCCAGGAATTCCTCCAGCAACTGGGACTGGTTGGGGGAAGGCAGCAGAGGCTTCTGGTCCCTGGAGAACAGGTCCCCGTCTGACCAGGAAGTACACAGGGTTGCTTTTGTGTTCAGAGGCCAGGCAATGAGAGTAAGTCCAACACTTTTCTCAGAAAACAAGGCCTCCATCTGCTTAAGGTCAAGAGCTGACACAGCTTCCCCATTCAAGGTCATGATTTCATTGCCCTTTCTCAATCCTGCGAACAAGGAAGGAGAAACAGAATGAAAAGATATAAGATTACTGACAGAATTTTTTTTTTGGTATTGGTATATATTTTATTAAATTTTAACCAGCGTTCTTTCAGGGACACACACTCACAGAGACAAGTAGGCTACCACAGAAAAATCTTTTTTTTTTTTTTTTTTTTTTTTGAGAATGCTAAATATTTTATTTTTAACTTATTTATTTTTTTTGCCATAGTTTTATTGATAAACAAATAGCAATGAGACAGTTTCAAATCAAATCGGTAGGACAGTTTCAATAATTAACACACTGCATACATTCTTCTTAGTGGTTAATTGCTGTACAAGATGCGGACTTGATATCCTATTTACAAACACCATTAGAACAAATCCCTCTATTCATTAAGAAAATGTAACTATATATCTATCCTAACCACTTTGAATACACAGGTACAAAATGGACATTCATCTGTATACCCGTTTTTTTTGTTAAGTTCCGTTATTTGAATATCACAGGTGTGTAAACTCAGAAAAATATTCTAAAAGAGTCCAGTATCCCACAATAGTATTTTAAATCTTTTTTTGCCCCTAGAAAAATCTTGTCGTCAAGAGTGATGAAGTTACTAGATGACTTCCGGGAACCACCTTCAGTGCTGCTGCTTAGTTTTACCCAGGGACTCCAGGTAACACTCAACCCCAAGAGCCACCCTGAACCCACAGATCTCCACTTGAATCCTTTTAAAACTGCACCAAGAAAAGAAACATTGTGTGCAAAGCCACCCACGTATCACCATGCTTCACTGTGGCCCCACAGGCCCCCTGGGCCTTGCGCAGCCAGCTGCTTCTGCACGGTTTCTAATGGTATCCCCTCTATTCTCCATTGTTTATAGTCTGGAAATTCCAATTTAGGATGACCATGTTCCTGCCCACACCCATGCCCTGGGGCCATGTCTGACAGCATTCTGACCTCTCAGGACACATAGTATTCAACCTTCCAGCTCTACTGACAGAAATTTTAAGATGAAAGAAGGTTGCAGACTCAAAGGATGTGTTTGGCAGGGCTGTTTCCTTGTTGTTTTCCTGGAGGAACACACCATAATGTGTAGGAGTTAGATGCCACTGATAACAAAATGAAATGGGCGTGGTGGCACACACCTGTAATCCCAGCACTCAGGAGGCTGAGGCATGAAGATGCCCAAAAATTCAAGGCCAGTTTGATTTATGGAGTGAGTTCAAGGCCAGCCTGAACTACATAGTGAGACCTATCTTAAAACAAAGTAATTGCACAATCAATACTATGTATGGTGCATAAGAAGCTTAAAAAAAAAAGCTCTCTTAAAGCTAACACTAGAAAGATTAGATTGAACTGGAAACAATTTGAGTAACTACTCACTAATAGTTCTTCTAGTGCTGGTATTAAGGCCTGGGACATAACGTTTGTTTCATCTGCGTTTGTCTGTCTGTCTCTCCCATCCTCTCCTTCCCTCTGTAAATGTGCAGATAGCCTGTTTATACACACACTCTCCATGTATACGCATTTTCTATTAAACGCTAAAGCTTACTTTCTTTATTATCCCCGGATGTAACCAGTTGTGCTGGCTGACATCTGTAAATTCAGTACTCTGGGAGGCTGAGGCAGGGAGATTACAAACTCCACGCTTGTGTGAGGAACTTAGTGAGACCCCGTTTCAGAGTTTAATAAAGCCAATAGAGCTGGGCCTGTAGCTGAGGATAGAGGCTGTGGATCAGATCCCCAGTGCCACCAGGGAAGTGTACACACACACACACACACACACGCACACACACACATTTTCTGGCAAAACTGTAAAAAGAAAATTTCACTAGCCACAGATTGAGATTAGGAGAACAGAGACACGGTGCCACACAGACCTCCGCCATATGCCAAGCCATCAGGAAGGACGTCACTTATGAAGATCCGGCTGAGATGTTGATGTTCGTCCACCTGTGCTGTGACGGCAAACCCTAGTAAGGAAAAAAAAAGTACAAATCTAAGTCCACCGTTCATGTCTCCAATGCCATCAGCAATACTTCCCAGAACACCTGTTCTCATAAGTACATCATGTTGAGAAACTCTAAAATACAGTAGTTTTGAAATCACAAGTATTTAGCAAGGGTAGAAAAAAGAACACGGAAAATGGAAGGTTTAAGAGGTAAGAAGGTGCAACCTTTTCCAAACGGTGTGATGACACATTCACGCCCACAGCAGCATTATTCCCACCAGCCAACACGTGGAGCCACCCAACAGCCCCAAGAAGGGCGAAAGGACAACCAAAACGTGCTTAAAAAGAGTAAAATTCCCGCACACCCTGCACACGGGTGAGCCTCAAGGACATCACGCTAAGTCCAATAGGCCAGCCACAGAGAGACAAGGGCCGTGTGGTCTCGCGTCTATGAGGTAAGCACAGCTGCCCCGTTAATAGAGACCACAGGCTGGTGGTCGGCAGAGGCTCTGGCGGGAGGGAGTGGGGAGTTAGTGTTTGGTGGTACAACTGGCTTCAGTGTGGGCAGCTGGCCGGTTCTGTAGGTGGACAGTGCGATGGCAGGACATGGGTGTGAATGGACGTCAGGCCTCACGGTGGTACACTTAAAAGTGGTCAGGATGACAAGCCTTTGAATTTAAGTTTTTGGTTTTTTTGAGACCAAAGATGATCTTATCAAAATATATTCCCTTCAATACCAACAAGAAAGACACAAACCCCAATTGTGGATATGGTTAAGTACTTTAAGAAGGTATAAAACCAACCCAAACCAACAGCCTGGATGGTTACAGCCTGAGGATGATGCAGCGGCCCTGTGTACACCCCTGGTCCGCGGGCGGCTCCCCTGCAGGAGAACACCTTCCCCTCTAAGGCCGCAGCCAGGAGCACATGTCGCCGTGCCGGGTCCCCAGTTCTGGGCGTCTCTGAGGCCCAGCAGAGCATCTATTTCCCTGTGAGTTCCCTGCTCCTCTTGCGGAAGCTGGTGCATTGTAGTCACCCAGTCTCTGTAAGCTGCTCAGACACCGAGATGACAGGTCAACGGCAGCTGGGGCGAGCAGCATGCAGACCAGGAGAAGTGGGCGAGAGCTAACAGAGTGTCAGAGAAAAACCAACTGGCATTTAGGTAAAAATGGACTGCATAATTAAGAAACAAACAGCAAATCTCATGAAGATTTAACATGATCAACTTGAACTATTTTAAGGAAAATAATTAGGTTGTATCGGTGTATTTCTACGATGAGAGCTTTTCTCTGGCAATGCTCCCCGATTGCTTACCAAAAACTTGCCTTTAAAAGATAATAAAAGGGGCTGGAGAGATGGCTCAGTGGTCTAAAGCACCTACTTGGAACAAGCTTAGCAAAGCATCAGGGACCG